GCCGGGGCCGTGGGTGCCCGCCGCTCCGACCCCGCCCCTGGGCCGCCGGCTCTCGGGCACCAGCCCTGCCCTCGGACAGGGCCACGCGAAGCTTGCGACAGGCCGTTGCGGGGTCTGCCCCGCCGAGCTGTTCGCCAAACTAAAATAAGCTGAAAATGCAGCTGCTGTCAGTAGGGGGAGCGATTTTAGCCCCTCCGCAACCTGGCACTAGAGTTGCCAACCCTCCAGGTTGGCCCCCGAGTCTCCAGGAGTGAGGTGCACATCTCCAGGAGACTGCGGAGGGGGGTTAAGTGTTAGGGCACTCATTCAAATGAATATTAAACGATGGATCTCATTTATACAGCACTCCCGTGGGTTTTTTAAGTGTAGTAGTCATGTGCATTTGCCTTCCTGATGTAAAATGTGCACTTTAATTACAGGCAACCCCTGCTTAACGCTCTTTCGCTATAACGCTCATTTGAAATTGATACCTGATTTCACTTAGTGCTCAGCGAGTTTCGTCATAAGGCTCCCAGTCACCGTCTCAAGTCATTAAGAACAATTGTGGTCACCATCTTGGGTGATCAACTACTTTTGGTTTCACTTAACGCTCGTTTTTTCAGGTCCCAATTAAGAGCGCTAAGCAGGGATCGCCTGTAATATCATGACATCGTGTGATGAAACCGCCCAAAATAGACTGAAACAGAGTTGGCAACTCTACATGGCACCTACTGCACTATCAGTGCTCTTCACCTTCTACCAAAGTGTGGTAGCGGGGTATCAGACCTCACAGACAAATGACCTGATCCCTTCTTGGCAAGTCTGATGCTTTTAACCTGGAATGATCTGAAGAGTAATAACACTGGAAAATCAAGAGGTGGTCAAACAGCCCAGCACAGTGGAAGTGGAAAAGGGTGAAAACTAAGCAGAGAGTTCCCATTAGTAACCGTCAGTCTTGAACAAATAGCTCGGGGCAGTTTCTTGAAAGATCACATCATAATCTCGCCATTGTAGGCAAGTATTTACTGAAATCTAAGATGACCCCCATATAATTAGATTCTATATGTGGAAAATATA